AGAGGTTCGGGGTGGACACATGTTTGTCGATGGAGGGAATTGGAATTTAGACCCCACCTGGTTGATTATACGGGCTTACCTCGCAGAGTTCAGGGGGCTCTTCTGGTCCCGACCCAGAAAACATGTCTGTCCCCTGGGAGTCTGACGACGATTGATTTCTTTCTTGCGAGCACCGCCTTTTGCACGTGCGTGTGATAAGGTTGAGGCCGACACGTCGTGGACGCATCGCCCACATCGCCCTGTGCAGATTGTCTTGCGGCCCGACGCTGTGCGGTGCCACAAGCTGACGTATCGGTCGCATCAGAAGCTCCCGACTGAGCTGCCGTTCGGCCCAACTCCCAGGCCCACGGATTGGACTCTCTGTAGGACCATCGCTGAGGACGCGGTCGCCCATGCTTTGTCGAGCCCTGTAGGCGGAGCCTGGAAGATGCTTACGGCTGCCTGGAAGTATTTGCTAACCAGCTCGAGCTCGAGCTCGAAGCCTTGCAAAACCCAAGGCTTTTTGCACTCACGACCAGAATTGCGGATGGATCCGGTTGGTCCAACACCTAACGGAAACGGTTGGGGCCCCTGCGAGGCTCATTCAAGCGTGCCAGGATCCCGAGGTGACCGACCCCAGTAAGATCCAAAGGCTTTCCGATGATGCTTACCACTAGGTCCAGCAGCTGCTCATGCTAGCGTGCCCTGGTGAAGGGCTGAGTGCACGACTCGACGCTGCCCTGGATCAAGCTCGGCGGCCTGCACGCTCGCGTGTGATCGGTGCGGGCCTTGGCGAGTGGATCGTGGAGTGTCAGGAGACCTTGTCGCCTTGGGACGACGACCCGAGTGAGGCGCGCAAGGCCATCGCTCGGATCCAGCAGGACAGTTGGGACCAATGGCAGGAGAAGGCACTGTCGGGAGGGGGGGCAGGGCCATGCATGGGCTCACCAAGTTGAAATCGAAGTGGGCCCGTACCGTCGTGCAAGATTACCCTGATGTGTTCTCAAACTCTCCCCAAGATGCGTCAAAAAGCTGAATGGGGATGTTTGGCTAAGATGTGGCATGCGTCCCACGTGCCGCCCGAGATTTGCGTCCCTGACAGCTGCCACTTGCCTCGGCCGACGGCCGCCGAGATCAGGAGCGCCTCGCGTAGTTGGTCGCCTCTCACCTCGCAGTCTCTCGGCGGACTGCATCCGAGGCAGCTCTCTCGTCTCTGATGGGGCCCTGGACACCTTCGGTGCGATAATCCAAGCTATTGGGTCCCTGGGCCTGTTCCCGAAACAACTGCTTTGGCTCCGTTTCCCCGTGCTCGAAAACCCGAAAAAGGGGCTGCGTCCCATCCTCCTGTGTGCGGCTCCCGTCGGTGTCTGGGAACGTCCGGGAAGACCTGTTGTTGCGGATGGTGGCACGAATCACCCTCGCAAGCACTGGGCGTTCGACCCAAAGCGAAATGCTGAGGATTCTGTGTGGCATCAAACTGTGCAAGCCGAGGTTGCGCAACGACCTGATAAGGAAACGGAGTGTGTGATTTGGAACGGGACCTAGTACTATGAGTCGTGTGGCCTCTGTCGCTTGAAGACAGGGCTTTGAAGCGTGGTATTCATTCGGTGATCGTTAAGGCAACGTTTAACTAGTGGCGTGGCCTCAGATTGTTCCGTCTCGGGGCCCACTACGGGGCCTTACCCTACTTCGCTGAATCGGTTCTCCCAGCGGAAGACATGCGCAACGACACCATGGTTCGGGTCAACAGTACCGAAGCGTTTGATACCTTCGCGGCCCGCAAGCCACAGGTTGGTGTATCATCTTATGGTGATGCTGACAGCGTCACCACGGCTGGCTCGGAACAAGAGGTTCTGACCAACATTACCAAGGCTGCCGCCACTCTGTACATCGATTCAGGGATGAGTTGTACGTGGGCATTCAGCCCGACAAGGTCAGCACCTTCGCCGGCAGCCTATATCTCTCTCTCTCTCTTTCCCTCTCTCTCTCTCGCCAAGAAGATTGCATGTCCCATTTCCAAGCTCGCGGGGGTAGGTGGCCGACAGCGTGGTCTCTCTGGGCGCCGACGTTGCACCAGGTCAGCCACGGCGTGCTGAGCGAGGGCTCTGCAACAGAAAGCAGCGGTCACACCGAATGAAGAAACGTCACCAAGTTTCGATGCGTTAACGCTCCAGGCTTCCCAGGAAGAAAGGCGGGATGGGAACAACATGCGTTGCTGGAAGTTTACCAGCAGCTAGTGTTGGTTCCGCGGTGGTTGGGATGTCCGATTTCGAGCTTCAAGAGGCTCGTCGGGTTTTGCTTTCCTGTCACCCACCACGGCACCGTGGATGCTCGTTCCAAGCGCGTCTCGTGATTTCGGGGGACCCTGTGGGGCAACCACCCCTTGCTCCTGCTTTGCAGTGGGCCACGATCGTCTGGCTCGCCCTCACCTCCCCCTCGATTTCCCAGTACAACGTCAAGGAAATGTCTCACATGTGGCGAACTGCTAGATATGATGATGATGCCATCTGGCGATCCTCCCGTGGCCCTCTGCAGCGCATGCGCCTCTCTCTTGCTAGAGTGGGTTGGCGGTCGGTGACCCCTCTCACGTATCACGGTGACTACGATCGCGAGGTGCATCTTAGGTACGCTTCGTCACCGATGATGTCCCACATGCTTCGGCTCGCTGTTCAGTGAAAGCATGGGGGAGTCCCGTGCCAAGAAACCCCTGGGGCCAGCGGCTCTCGTTCGTACGTGGATCCCCTCGTGAAAGTGTTGGGCCCTCGAGGCCGTTCTTTGACCCCGCACCAAGAATGCATGGCGCCAAGTGTCTTCTGCAAGGATATCTGGACCCGTTCGCGCGCACAGGCTGCTGGACATCGGTGCGACGGCCTGTGCCCTCCGTGTGGCCTTCCTGACAGCGTGCGTCATCGAGGTTGGCAGTGCCTACGCCCAGAGGCCGTGGCTGCGAGGAGGAGCGATGCAGACGATTCTCCTGCTGAATAGCTCGCTAAAGCTCTTGACAGCAATGATCGGTTGGTTTTCGATGGGTTGAAATAAAAACACCCCGAAGACACCTGTCCCCCACACTGGAGGGGACATTGCCGATTGGGGTTCTATCGATATCTCAAGGTGTGAAGTGGCTATGGACGGTTCGGCCTTTCGCCACACGATTCGGGAGCTTTCGAGGGCTGTCTACCCTCGGGTCTTTTTGGGCCCTGGCGATACCACCGCTGCGCACGCTAAGGGAACATTGCTTAACGTCCTGCCTCAGACCCCTCAAGCTGCTGAACACGTGTCCACGGCGCTGCTCCCGATGTTCCAGGAGCGAGGGGGCGACAGCCGCTCCGACTGCATGAACGTTGTCCGCCTGCGCAGCGCTCCCAAACAGCTTCAAGCTTCCCGCAAGCACACATACGCTGGTCTTCGACGCGGAGCATTGCTGCACGAAGGAGGTGCTATCCGGCCCGTGCATCACACTCGCGCGCATCGCTCCCGAAAGACGTATCGGAGTAGGCATCTGGAATGCGGACGTCTGGGCCAAGCAGGCTCTCTCCCTCCACCCCCAACCCAGTTTGCATGAAAGAGAGGAGGTGGACAGGAAATGTAAGTTTTTGATTTTCGCGGCGAAGGTTGCGGGCACCCCTGCGGAGAGATTCGATCGTCTGCCGATGGGTCCGAAGGCCAAGTTTTAAAAATCAGGAGGCTGGCATGCCTGGCAGGACTTAGGTTTTGGCCGTGCGCGTTGCTTGCATTGCCTCTAGTTTTCCTCTGACATTTCGGCGAGACCCATATTAGGATGTAAGGGCCCCAGCAAGACCTGGATGGGGTGTCTTGTATCGCTCCCTGGGACACTCATTGGCCCACTGTATAGTCGAGAAAGGAGAGCAGCAGCTAACTCTCTTTTTCTGCACCACGTGTGGAGCTTACCCCTCTACGAGGTGTCACACGCTTGGCAGAGAGTGTCTTCAGCGCCCGTTGTCGGGTGCCCCCACCACTCTGCGACTAATTTCTTCTAGTTTGTATCCTCACTACCGCGAACCAACCACGGTCAGTGAAAAGCACGAGGCGAGGGGTGGCGTTCTTTTGCCATGCTGCACAGCAACCCCCGCCTCGCGATGTTAGTTCGCCTACGCCCACCTCTGGAGCGATACCTACCCCAGGCATGTTGGCGCTCCAGGCACGTGTGGCGGCTCGAGGCCGAGGCTGCAGCAAGGACTGCAATCAGGTCTCGATAGAGTCGCATTCTGAGCTGCCGCGTTTTCGGCAAGCTCCGCTTGGTTTTGATTCAAATCGTTCAGGCCCTATGGGATCGCTGATCAGTTTCATTTATCCTTTTCCATCTCATCCTCCGGATCCTTCTCCATTGGCTCCCTGTCTGTCCTCCTCATCTTCCCACACCCTCTCCCTCCCCTTGCCCTCATGAAATCGTCCTCCTTTCTCTCCCCGTTCCCCGCGCTGAACACATCGACGTATGAGGCTCGTCTGGCTCTGGCGACGAGCCCCCCCCCCCACCTGGGCGGCCACAGAGAGCAAGAAAGCCGAAGGACCGCTACGCAGACCGCCCCCCCGGCAAAAATACCCTCGTGGGCCTCCCTCTGCTCTTCTCAAGGGGCGGGCGGGGGGCGGGGCGGGACGTGGTTTAGAGAGGGAAGGGAAGAAGGATGGGAGGAGGGAGGGGAGGAGGAGGAGGGAGGGTGGACGGAAGACCGGAGCAAGGCGAGGCACGGCCTTCGTTCCCGCCGCCCCCCCCCCACCGCAGCCCACGGTGGAGTCTGCTGCGTGTGCTCTTCTTTCTCTTCTCGGGGGCGAGCGAGGGGGGAAGCGAGGAGGAGCGGGCCTTCTCAGAAGGATCGAAGTCCCCCGGTCTTCTGAGAAGTGCGCTAAGCCTTCCCCGAAGGCGCAGTAAGCTTGTCAGAAGGCGCGAAGGCTTCTTGGAAGTCCCGCCGCCTTCTGAGAAGGCCTTCTCCTTCTCACTTCCCCCCCATCGCTCGCCGCCGATCTCTTCTTATGCTTCCACGGAAGAAAGGGGTGGGGATGAGGGAGGAAGGAGGATGAGGAGAAAATCAAGAAAACTGACCCACTGGCGCCGTGATGCGAGGTGAAGTCCGACCACGACCAGAAGGCGTGCTGTGGGTCGCTGTGCACCTTCGAGCTGCAGAGAGCTCGCTCATTCGAGGGTGCACGGCATCGCTTGCGAACTACTGCAGGCAGCAAGCAAAAAACTGCTACGGGGGGCTTGGCTCGCCTGCGAAATACAGCCTGCATTCGTTGACACCCACCTCCATTCCATTAGGCTCCCTTCTCCGTCATCATGGATGCGCGCGCTGCCTCTGGCAGCAACTCATCCGAATCTGGGGCAAGCGCGCGTACCTGCTTTGTGTCTGCGCGCCTGCCACATCCGACTACAGGTGGTGGGGTCGGGGCTGGGCTCAGGAGCACAGGCAGAGAGGGGAAAGGAGAACACGTCTGGCGTAGGGCCCAGACCGCAGCTGCGTACAGCGCAGGGCGCGGCCCCGTCCTCATATCCTACGCAACGCAGGACGCATGGAGGTCGGGTCCCCGTGGGTGCACGAAACGTCCGAGGTGGAGGGGGGGGGGGCAGCATGCCCGCGCGCGCCCACCGCAGCCGCAGGTGGAACTCCTTGTGGGGGCACCTGTAGGGGCCGAAAGGGGTGTGCCGAAATGGGCACGGGGCGGCATACACCTGCACCGGTTGGAGTCGCAGGTGAAGCCCTGTCATGGGTCATGGGGGGCTCGGAACGAGTGAGGGGTGTGCCGAAATCGGCACGGGGCGGCTTGCACGCCCACCCTCTGGGGCCGTAGGTGGAGCTCCCTCCGGGGGCACGAAGCATGTGAGGGGTGCACCGGCATGAATAGGGTGCGGCATACGCGTGCGCCCACTGGGGTCACAGGTGGAGCTCCTGACGGAAGCACGAAGCATGCGAGGTGGGTACCGAAAAGGACAGGTGGACGGAAAGCAGGGCAGGGAGACGAGGAGGAGAGGGGAGGATGAGAAGGAGACGAAGAAGACGCGCGGCGCTGCGGGTTCAAAACAAAGACCCGACCACACTGGAGGGCTTGGAAATCCGCCGACCATTGGAGCCACTGGGCGTGTGAGATCCACTCCAAAAAAGTTGCCTCCCCTCGGGCTGGGCCCAAAATTGCGCTCTGGAGGGAAAGGGCAAGCCCCCTCGCGACAGGGGGGCGAGCTCACCCGGGGCCTGTTCGGCCTCCTGGGGCCTCCCTGCAGCCTCTTGGCCCTGTTGGCCCCGGGTCGCCGAAACCAATACAAGGAAAACGACGCCCGGTACCCCCATACCCCGTCGAGGTCGCGGTCCTGGACCCCGGGCCTCGTGCACGGGGATATATATATATATATATATATATATATATATATATATATAATATATATCATACGCACCTCTCCGAGGGAGTAGAGCTCAGAGGCGATTAATGCGTACGCGGGGCGCCGCGTCCGCGATGTTTCTAGCCGTTTCGCTAGGGACATCCTCGAAATTCTGAAAATCGGTGGCACCCCTCACGCAGATCGTGACGTCAGGGTCCAAAAACACATGGGAATTTCAACAGTTTAACATAAAATCTTCAAAAAACACATGGTAATTTCAATAATTTTGACCCCGATTCTCAGAGAATGGCGGTTTCGCTTGAAATCCCAAATTCGATCCCCGACGTACCCTCTGGTACCCCAGACCCCGCCTCGGAGCCTCCTGGGGGCCTCCTGGAACCTCCTGGGGCCTCCTGGGACTTTCTGAACCTTCTGGTACCCGAGACCCCGCCTCGGAGCCTCCTGGGGGTCTCCTGAAACCTCCTGGGGGCCTCCTGCGGCCTCCTGGAGCCTCTTGGGGCCTCCTGGGGTCTCCTGGGGCCTCCTGGGGCCGCCTGGGGCCTCCTGGGGCCTCAGAACTACATGCACACACAGAGACACAAATCACGCCCAACACATCACACGCTAGACAAACATAACACACACACACACACAGACACACACAACACCTACAACGCACAAAAAGCAGGCACAACACAGAGCACACATCACCCCACACACACACACACACACACACACACACACACACACACACACACACACACACACACATCCTGGGGCCTCCTGGAGCCTCTTCTGGTATCCAAGTCGAGCCTCCTGAGGCTTCCTGGGGGGGCCCTGGTACACACATCGCAAGGTGTGGCAACCCCACTTGCGCTCGAGTGCGACTTCGCTGTTGCATTTCACTCCTGCTTCAAACGCCCATTCAGTTTTTTGTATGAGCCTGTGCACACACGTGCCACTTGTATATATATATATATATACAAATAAATAAATAAATAAAAGTGTGCATATATATATATATGTACAAATATACTTACACATATATACATATGTAAGTATTATAGGCGTACAGATATACATCTGTATCCCAAAGAAGACTGACATGAATAACACCAAAATACACCATGAGAGATAAAGAGGCGAGACATCGACAGACAGAGAGAGAGAGAGAGAGAATAGTGAAAGAGTGAGTGAGACAGAGAGAGAGTGGGAGAGAGAGAGAGAGAACAAAAGAAAAGAGAGAGAGAAAGAGAGAGAGACACCAAAAAAAGAGCGACAGCGAGAGAGAGAGAGAGAGAGAGAGAAAGAGAGAGAGAGAGAGAGAAGGAAAATGGCAATCCACCAAACAAAAACACGGGAACGCGCAGAAACCGAGTCGACCTTGAAGGCCTCAAGAGGGCCCCAAGACTGCCGAGAGAGGCCTCCAAGACGGCCTCCGAAGGCGCCAGACGGCCAAGGACCGCCCGAAGACGGCCCGAGGCGCCCCCAAGAGGCCCCAGGAGGCCCCCAAACGAGGCCCCCAAGAAGCCCCCGGGAGGCCCCCGAGAAACCTCCTAAAAAGCTCCCAGAGTGCCCGAAGCGCCCACCCAAGGAGTCTGCACCGTCTGGACGTGCCTCCCGCCAAGCGAAAGGAAGGGCACTAAAAAAAAAGCGCGGAGGCGTGGGCTGCTGCGACGGGAGCCGAGGTCACAGGTAGACGGGCTGCACGCCGTGCACGGGGCCGCGGCAGATGTGACAGCGCTGGCTCGTCTCGGCCAGCCTGATGGTGCAGTCCCTGCACGCCGTGTGCCCACACGGCCGCAGGGCGACCCGCACCGCCACCTCCTCGTGGCAGATCGAGCAGCACCCCTCCCGCCCGCCCGCCGCGGAGCTGGGGCACATGGCGTCTTCGTCGCCGGAGTCTGCGGTGTTCTCCGCGCCGTCCTGGTCGATGGCGGCGCCCTCGCTGCCGGGCGGAGTGCGCAGATATCTGCCGGGCAGCGCCGCCAGCGTCGCACGCATCTCGAGCAGGCGCCTCATCCGCGTGCGCCTGAAGTGGAGGTCGCGCTGCGACTGCGGTGCGGGAACTAGGCCAAGAGCACCCGACGCGGCAAACTCCCGGAGGGTCCGCGAGCAGCGGCTGAAGCAGCAGCACAGGTAGAGCAGGCTGAACGCACTGCTGAAGGCGAGCACGGAGCTCAGCCCTGGCGCCGCAGAAACGTCAACAAACCACCGCAAGCTGCGCCGCGCGCACACGAAGGTGGACGGGTCAGTGGACCCGAGGGCACCTCCTGCGGCCCAGCAGGAGACGAGGGCCAGGTCCTCGGCTGTGTCCCAGGCCGCCCTGGTGAGCTGCACGCCGGACGTCACCTGTCGACGTGGGAAGGCAACCGGCTGGGCAGTGGCCCCGTAGTTCATCAGCTGTGCCCCGAGGGAGCCGGCCCTGTCGCTGGTCATCAGGACCATCAGGCCCCCGTGGGCGACCATCGACACCTGGCCGACGTCTATCGCGACCTGGGGCGAGCCGAGCATGCCGAGCGCGTCGTCGCGGACAACCGCGCCCACCTGCGGGTCGAAAACCGGCTGCTGTGGTGCAAGTCGCCTGCCTAGCTGCGGTCCCGGTGGCAGGCCGCTGCTCGGGACGGCCTCGACGTACTCCCACCGCACCTCGCTGCCAGAGTGCGGCAGCCAGAGCACAGCCAGCGCGCCACCCCAGGGCTGCTGGCTGGCGCACGAGAGGGTGGCGGCCACGGGCCCATCGCCAGCAAAGTCCACCTCCTCGCCTGGCGCCCACTCGCCACCGCTGACGAGGCGGCGCACGAAAGGCCCCGTGGAGCAGGCATCCCTGGGGCCGTTGCAGTAGCCGCTGGTGCCGTTCACCCACAGCGCCCACAGCGAGTCCCCGCACCAGGCGACCTGCGGCTGCCACTGGAAGTGACGCCATTCGGAGTTCACCTGCCGCTCCTCGTGCACGGGGCGGCCCATGCGGTCAAAGAGCCTGGCGAACACGCCCCATCCGTCGCCGTCCTGCCCCCAGCTGCTCCACACGACTGCGAAGCTGCCGTCCACAGAGCTCGCGGACAACCGGACCTGTGTCCGGTCGCAGTCGCCCGGGCCGCTGGCGCGCCGCGGCGGGCCGAGGGGGCCGTACGGGCCCACGAGGCGCACCCACACGTGGCCGTGCAGCGTCCACGCCACGGCCGCGCTGCCGCCGCGCAGGCCCACGACGTCGTGGAGACCGCTGGCCGCCGGCTGGCGGAAGAACTCGCGCGTGGAATTCACCTCCGACCGCGGCCCTCCTCCCACCCTCCTCTTCCTCCTCCTCCTCCTCCTCCTCCTCCTCCTCCTCCTCCTCCTCCCCCTCCTCCTCCTCCTCCTCCGTGTCCTCCTCCTCCTCCTCCTCCACCTCCTCCTCCTCCTCCTGCTCCTCCTCTCGCGCGTGGAGTTCACCTCGGACCGCGGCCCCTCCTCGGCGCAGTCGTGCCCGAACCTCTGCAGCAGGATCGACTCGCCGTCCTGCCACGCTAGGGCAAGGCCGCCCTCCATGGCGGCCGGCACCACGCGCGCGTCCAGGCCGGGGGCCTGTTGCGGGAGGCGCTGGAGCTGGATGGCGCAATCCTGGGGCGAAGGCGCAGGTGACGTGGCAAACAGGGATGCTGCCGCGCTCCACATCATACGGCGCAGCCCCAAAGGAGTGGGCGGGCGAATGAAAGAGGCCTAACACAGCTGAGATCTAAACCGGCTTGAAACAAAACGGCTACGGAGGGTAAGGCGGAAGGGATAAAGGGTAAGCGGAAGAATAAGAACAAGAGGAAGGAGAGAATAATACAATCTGTTTGTCGCCATCCCGTGTTGACAGACCGTGCGGTGACTTCGAAATCTCCAAGGACATCACCGCACGGTCCGTTATCGCACCGTTCTGGCACCCTGGAGGCTCCAATCGCCCGAGACATCCTCTGAGAACGAGCCAAGTCCAAAAGCCGTGCGTTCACCCCGATTCCCCACTGACTCACCACATGGTGTGGTCACCACACCGTTTGGCGATCCCCGACAGTAACCCCAGCCTGTCCGTACTAGTCCCAATCATCCTGTGTGTCGTCGGCGCTGTAGCTGCCACTTACCCGTGGACCTCCCCCGCTTTGCCTAGCCTTATCCCTGCCAACCCTGCAAGCCCACGCTAGCCGCACTGGCCCTGCCTATCGCCAGCGTTTGGTCCTGTGCGTCGCCAGCGCTGGTTGCCGCCGTTAGCGCAAGTACTTCTCCTCTCTTCCTGTTGCTGCTGCTCCTCCTGTTCCATCCCTCTTCCTTAGTCAGAACTCCTCCTCGTCGAACCACGGACGCGTCAGTGGGGCGATTTGGGCGTTTCGCTTGGGATCCCCTCGCAATGCCAATGCAAACCTTCGGAACTCAAAGCTCCCAACATTGGATGGAAGGCGTCCGTCTTGAATATGCCAGTATTGCCTTAGCGATGCGCACATTTGCCTTACTGCTTCCGACAATCACAAGGATGGAAGGCGGGTCGTCTTCAAAATATAGCTCTCACCCTCGTTCCGCGCACCATCGTCCGCAGAGCTTCCGGCATGCAAAAGGGTGGAAGCAGATCGCCGTCACGAGGCGGCTGGGACGAGGGACCCAACACCTTCTGTCATTAGCAAGTCGCGGAGACCACACCATCTCGAGCACTCGCGGTGGCGCGGGGCCGCCGCAAGCGCGCCGCGCCCCCGCGCGGCGCAGGGCGCCGCCCCTCCGCCGCAGAGGGCCGCGGGCCCCCCGCCCGCCCCGCCTCGCCCGCGCCGCGAGGCCCGCCGCGCGCGGGCGCGCGCGAAGCTCCGGCGGGGCCGGGCTGCGCGCCGCCCCCGCACCGCAGCGGGCCGCGGCCCAGCGCCCCGCCCCGCGCGGGAGCGCCGCGAAGCCCAGGGCGGCGAGGGCGCGCGGCCGCCTGCGGCGGCGTGCGCGGCGCGGCGGGCGACGGGCCGTGGGCGGAGGTGGGCCCGGGCAGGCCCGGCCTCTGGCGTGGTGGCGGCCCGCCGAGCCGCGGCGCGCGGCGCGGCCGCGGCGCCCAGCGCCCGCGCGGCGTCGGCCCGCCCGCGCGCGCGCCCCGAGGGCCGCGCACCGGAGGTCCCGCTGGCGAAGGGTCGCTCTCGGGCACGCGCAGCGGCGGTGGGGGCGAGCCCCCCGCCGTGTGGGCCGAGCCTGGGACGACCAGCGTGAGCCAAGATGGCTACGGATCAGGAAGGCGGGCTCTCGCTTGAGACCTCCCAGCGCGCAACGCTGTGCGACATCTACAGGGATGGAGAACGTTTCAGTTTGCATGCAACATTGTGTAACCGTAACTGTGAGGAACTGTGTTTCGCGGGTCGCGGCGGCGGTGCCTGCGACGGGTCGTGTTCGTCTGGCTGACATCGTGTCGCTCTTCTTCGTGGGGCGAGGAGCCGATAAACGCTCAGACAGGTTATGCCTGGGGACCTGGACGTGCTCAGCGCTTCGCGCCGAAACGTGGTGAGCCAAAGCTCAGCGACGCGACACGCTAAGGGATGAGGGGCGGCACGGAGGAGGGAGGGCCGGTGGGGGAGGGAGGAGAGAGGAGGCGCAAGCGTCATATCTGACGTCCTGCTCCTCCTTCCCATCCCTTAACATTGCGTAGGTACCCTCTCGATTCGCAGAGAAATGTCGAACAGCGCAACGATCCCGAGGGGGTACGCGATGCATGGCATAGCATAGCACGGCATAGCACGGCATCGCGTCGAGAACGCGACTCATTTCGACAACGAGGCCAGAAGGAAACCAGAAATGACACAGGACGGGACATGCAATATGCTTGTTGGAAAACAGGAAACGCAAAATGAGATCAGCGCTGCAGCGGGAACTCGATATCGAAGGAGCAAAGCCGCGGAAACCAGACCAACGCTGCAGTGGGAGCACGATTTGGAAGGAATGGAAGCGCGGAGACGAAGCCAACGCTGCAGCAGAAACACGATTTGGAAGAGCCGAACCAGCGAAATGAGGTCAGCGCTACAGCAGGAACAGGATTTGGAAGGACTGAAAACGGAAAACTGGAGCCAACGCTGCAGCGGGAGCGCCAGTCTGAAAGAACTGAAAACGTTCGGAGTTGACAAACACTTCGTATCAGTGCGACTGCATCTTGTGTAAAAAACAACTCGCGGAGGAGACCAGGGCACCTCACTGCCGTCCCCGGGGAAGAGAGGTCGTGTATTTCTGAAGCAGAGGAGGGGGGAAGGCAGGAGGGAGGGGGGAGGCAGGCAGGCAGGCGGGCAGGCAGGCAGGAGGGAGGAAGGGAAGGGGGAGGAGAGGTGAAGAAAAGAGGACAGGGGAAGAAGTATTCTACTTGCTTGCTGGTCATATCATGTCCAAGCTGATGCAACGACCCCTCCCCCTGCCCTCTCTCCTTCACCCCTCCGCCCTCTCTCCTTCCTCTCCTCCCTCCCTCTACCCTGCTCCCACCCTCATTCCTCCCTCTTTTCCTCCTCCCTCCTTCCTTCCTCCCTCCTTCCCTCCTCCCTCCTTCCCTCCTCACTCCTTCCCTCCTCCCTCCTTCCCTGTCCTCCCTCCACACCCCCTCCCGCCATTCAATCATCTACCCCCCTCGCGCTGCTCTCCCGTGCAGGAGGAGGACGCGGACGGAGGAGGAGAAAGAACAAGGAGGCGGAGGAAGAGGAGGAGGAGGAGGAGGAGGAGGAGGAGGAGGAGGGAAAGGAGGAGGAGGAGGGAAAGGAGCGACACTGGCCAGCAGGGGTACACTGAGCATAACGATCAGGAAAACATTCGGCAAACTAGACAAGCATGATACTCGCGGTGAAAAGCAGCGGCGACAGCAGGAAGAGGAAGCGGGACGGGGACGGGACACGAAACAACCTCGCCGGCTGGGCCCAGGAGCTGTGGCGACCACGGCGGCCACGGCCGTGGTGGACAACTGAAGGCTCATACTGTTCGTCTCGGCACGCGTGTGCAGAAGGACCCCCCGAAAATTCTGAATGTGTAACCGGCTCAGCCCCGCCATCAGCTGGCGCGGCGGCCTCCGTAACGGCGGCCGCTTTTATCTCGGGCTTCTTCGTCCTTTCATTATAAGCATGACTCCGATTCTTAGTATGATCATTAGTGTTATTATTATTGTTGTCTCATCGCTTCTTCTTACTATTACTATTACTACTGTCCTTCATGTTGTTATTCTCATTCATTTAATTGTTGATATCATAGTATTCGCATTGCTATTGTTATTATAATGCATATTTTCCTTCTGCGTCAGATTCTGGTCGGGAGCTGCCTCGTGATGAATTTCACCGGGGGCACCAACTCTGGGAGCAGACACCGCACCCGCACCGGAAGGCCCAGGAGCCACATCAGGCTGGACATCCGCAGCTGCGGTCCCAGGGACCCGATCCGGCCCAGAAGCCCCCCGCCGAGGGAACAGTGGAACAGGCGATCGATGGAAGTCCTCCGTCGCGCGGCCACTGACCAGCGGGGAGGCGGTCGTTGGCGGGATCGTGCCGCTGGTCTTGGGGGAACCAAGAGGTACCGATGCCGCCAGTCCCCGGACCTCTCCCGGGGTGCTTTCCGACCGGAACTTCGAGGCGAATCCAGCGGTTGCGACGAGGGCCTCCCAGGAGGCCCAAGAAGAGGAAAACGAGGGAAGGGTAGAGAGAATTATGGGCACTTGTTTTGGAGGCCTGGAAATGGGCACCAACACCAACACAGGGGGTTGCCTCCACAGGGGGAAGATGATCCCAGATTTCGGCGTTGGTAGTAACATTTCGCTCTCCTTGGAAGCCGGAATATCACCACTACCGCCGAGATCGGGATCTTCTTCCCTCGGTGGAGGCACGCCGCCGAGATTGGTGATGGTGTCAACCTCTAGGCCTGCGAAATTGTTCCTCCTCGGAGGTCCAGGTCTCTGCGCTGCACGCACTCCTCGCCGGTGGCCAGCTGGCCTCGCCGGGGGCCTGCGTGGCGCGCCCGCAGGCGCGGCCCCGGTGCGGTCGACGGGGTGGGACAAGAACTAGGTCGGGCATGTCCTTCTACAGGCGGGTTTGGGAAGAAAGCTTTAAACATAGGCACGACATAAGCATACAGAATCAAGAGAGCACGAAGAATCGCCGACAGCCTATTTTTCCACTATTTCTTGAACATTCCTCCTGTAAGGGGGCGTGCCCGACTCAAGACAGAAGCGTGAATCCCCACCGAAACGTCTTTGCCCGCCATGCTGTGCCGCTCAGCCGTGCCAGCGTGTGGCAGTGCCAGGGACTCTAAAGGAAGAAAAAGCACCAGAAACATAAACTTTCAACGCTCCGCGCGGATTTTCTGGATCTGCGCTGGACCCCCTCCCTGTCGCGCAGAGCATGCCAGGGGCGGCGCTGGAGGCGCCGCCAGAAGGCCCAGCGCGGATCCAAGAAATCCGCGCGGAGCGTCAAAAGTTTATACTTATTTATGGCGTTTTTTTTTCTTCTCCGAACCACGCAGTCGTGCCAGTGTGTGGCAGTGCCGGGGACTCCGTGCCACGCGGCAGCACCTCCTTGCTGCGGCTAGGAGCCTCGTCGCAGTCGAAGGCGTCGCTGTAGTGTCTGTCCAACGGGGCGTGCCTCGGGCCAGCAGGAGGAGCCGCGACGACCGAAAAGTCGACACGATGCCGGTCACGAAATTGGTCCTCCTGTCTTACAGCCACGGCAGCCAGCGCAAGAGCCTCGTCGACCTGAGCTTTAAACTCCGTGCTGGAGGCGAGCATGATGTGGCACACGAGGATGTAC